CGTGGAGACTGGTCCTACGGATGAGACCGTATAAACCGACGTACCCTGTCGCAATAGGTGTTTGCACGAAAAAGATCTCTCATTGCTCAATAGCCATGAGTGCCGAGTATAGGTATAAATTTGCAGCCCTCCACCGGCAAGTGGTGGCGTCTCCATATGAGTATAAAAAATTATCGAGAGGGACGTTAATCAACAAAGATAAAGCATATAAGCAGACGGACAAATTCATTTCCGTAGGAAAATCACATTTTCTTGCCGTGTCCCGATAATTTCGAATATTTTTTTTAACTTCAGCAATAACATCATTAACTGTTCCTAATTAAGGAAGCTCTAAACACTGCTCACTAAAGAGTACAAATCCCATGGTGGTTTTATGCATTTAAACTGATCGGACCTTTGATATTAAATGAAATAAAATGGAACTCTTCAGTAAATGAGATAATTTAAAGTTGCATGATTAAAGCATTCTTAATATTTATTAGACCAAGATAAAGTAATTGAAAACATTTTTTGTGTTTTTCCAATATTTAAGCAAACAAGTCATTTCAGTTCATCAATACTTCATTTCCTTGAAAATTTTCCTGGAGAAATATGACAGGTACCCTATGTTGAAAATGAACTAGAAAAATTCAATATGTACATCTTTTTGTGACAAAATTTTCACAAAGTCCATTAAAAAAAATGTTAGTGTTTAAAATTTCCTTAATGTTGAATATAGTGGGGCCAATTGAGGGATCATACAGTATTCCAATTAATTCAATTACTGGATCTAAACTGTTAGAGATAAAAACAAATTTTAATGCCTAAAGCAAAGTGGGATGAAGCCAATAACTGAGGGTATGCAACCTATAGCAAAAATATTAAATGAAAAAGTATATTTCCCGGTGTCAGGGTTTTTTTCAGCTCAGTTAAAAATTCGCCGTTTTATCGAGTGCCATTTCTTACAATAGTTATAGGCTAGCTATGTACGATTTTTTTTTTACTGAGAGCTATTTCGATTAAAATCTATAGTTTTTGATTCTTCGGAACTTTGTTTTAATTTTCTTGTGAAATATTTATGTTTTATGGAGAAGCCAGTTTGGCAGGGACAAGGGTTAATAATTATCAAAAGTGAATTTCAGTGTTAAATATACACTAGGATAATTAGAAAAAATAATGCATATTCATGTAAACATCGATTACAAGGTCTCCGTACTCTTTCGTTTTATGAAATACTATATAGCTGCTCTGATGAAAGAAGCATGGAACCACGTGGTTTAAAATAATTATTCTCGAGAATCCTTCACAGAGAAGCGAACTCCAGCTCTGGGCGAGATTTTGTTTTTCGTCGGCGAAAAAGGGCGATATTAGCCTTACATGGTTAATTAAACTGATAACTACATGTATACTAATAAACCCAGGTTATGAATTTTCCTGTTTCTTAACTTGAGATAATTAGGTGTATGAAAACCGTCTGTTATTTTGTGTAAATATAATTTCTTCTGATAATTTTCTGTATAAATACCATTCAAACATATATATTAATAATTCTGGGTATTAATTATGAATTATACAAACAAGTGACAACTAAAACAAGAGGCCCAGGGGCCACATCGCTCACCTGAGCACATTGGCTAGGCAAAAGCACAAATCAGTTCAGTATTGAAAAGACCGGGGGTGGGGGGTTGAATTTTAAACTACCTGAGGATGCTTCCATGTCAATGTAACAAATGGCTTTGTTGTACTTGAGAAGATTTTAAAAAATTTCCCATATATTCCTTTGTAAAAATTTGATCCCCCATTGTGACTCCTTCCTATCCCAGGAGTCATCATTTGAACAAACTTGAATCTACACTACCTGAGGATGCTTCCATATCAATATGACTAAACATTGCTTTACTGTTCTTGAGAAGAAATATTTCTTCTATATGTTCTTATGTAAAACTTTCCATTCCCCATTGGGCCCCATCCTACCCCTGCGGGTCATCATTTGAACAAAATAGAATCTACACTACCTGAGGATGCTTCCATATCAAAATGACTAATAATGATTTGCAGTTCTTCAGAAGAGAAATTTTCCTTTATATTTCTATGTAAAACTTTGATCCTCCATTGCGGCCCCGCCCTACCCCCGGGGGTCATGGTTTGAACAAATTTGAATCTACACTACCTGAGGATGCTTCCCTATAAATATGACTCATCATGGCTTTGCTGTTCTTGAGAAGAAGATTTTTCCTACATATTTCTATGTAAAACTTTGATCCTCCATTGTGGCCCCGCCCTACCCCCGGGGGTCATGGTTTGAACAAACTTGAATCTACACTACCTGAGGATGCTTCCATATAAATATGACTCATCATGGCTTAAGTTTGCTGTTCTTGAGAAGAAGATTTTTAAAGATTTTTCCTACATATTTCTATGTAAAACTTTGATCCTCCATTGCGGCCCCGCCCTACCCCCGGGGGTCATGGTTTGAACAAACTTGAATCTACACTACCTGAGGATACTTCCCTATAAATATGACTCATCATGGCTTTGCTGTTCTTGAGAAGAAGATTTTTAAAGATTTTTCCTATATATTTCTATGTAAAATTTTGATCCTCCATTGTGGCCCCGCCCTACCCCCGGGGGTCATGATTTGAACAAATTTGAATCTACACTACCTGAGGATGCTTCCAAATGAATTTCATCTTTCCTGGCCCTATGGTTCTTTAGAAGAAGATTTTTAAATGATTCCATTATTTTTTCAGTAATTCCTAATTATCTCCCCTTGAAAGAGGGCGTGGCCCTTCATTTCAACAAACTTGAATCCCCTTTACCCAAGGATACTTTGTGGCAAGTTTGGTTGAAATTGGCTCAGTGGTTCTTGAGAAGAAGTCGAAAATGTGAAAAGTTTACAGACAGACAGACAGACGGACAGACAGACAGACAGACAGACGGACGGACGGACAGACGGACGCCGGACAAAATGTGATCAGAAAAGCTCACTTGAGCTTTCAGCTCAGGTGAGCTAATAACATGTAGCAATTTCTTTACCCTTAAAAAATATTGCTTTTTCTGAAATTTGAAAATACAGTCATTCGATGTGGCTCTATAGAGGATAGAGAAGAGGTCCTCCAGGCGCGGATCAACCCAGACCAGAAATTTCTCGACAAGCAAAAAAAGAAAAAAAAATCCTAAATTCCATTTCCCAAACGTATTAAAAAAAACCTATTTTGTGGTGGTGATGGTGGGATCCACGTTTTCTAAAAGGGAGTGTGTGTTCCAAAGTCATTTTTAAGTCTTTTAATAACCCTGCAAATTCCGGGGGGGGGGGTGTCATGTCCTCCATTTCCAGACTAAATCTACCATGGTGTCATTCATCTAATTTTCTCCTCTTTTTACCTTTACCAGCAAATCGTCGACATACAGAATTCGAATTATATGTAAGAAATGAATTAAAGGTTACTGGGTATGGTATGTTGAACTTAGAAAACAGAAAATAATGCTAGCTGTTTTATAATTTACTGCATGGTATTCATTGAAAAGATGTACAATTTACCGGTATTCATTGAAAAGATTTACTGGTATTCATTGAAAAGATGTACAATTTACCGGTATTCATTGAAAAGATTTACTGGTATTCATTGAAAAGATGTACAATTTACTGGTATTCATTGAAAAGATGTACAATTTACTGGTATTCATTGAAAAGATGTACACTGTACATGTACGTCGATTGTTTATTCCCTTTATGTTGAATTGAATTATCCTTGGTAAATGTAACAACTACATGGGCCTAAAATACTGCCTTCTCTAGGAGATTAATTATACCCCCGATTGAAAAGCGGGGGTGTATTGTGATGGGGATGTCCGCCAGGCCGTCCGTCCTTTTTGACCTCTTGACCTTCCCGTCCGTGTTAGGATAATTTTAAAAACTGAAGCTTTCTACACACTCTATAAGTATATGCATATCAAATGTAAAATATTTTTGTGAAAGGATGGATGGATTATTATTGCTTTACGCCGAGTCGGCAATATTTCAGCCATATTTCGGCGTTTTTTTTTTTGTTTGTTTGTTTTTTGTTGATGTTTTTTTTTTGTGTGTGCGTGAAAGGAAAAATATTATCGGCCGCAGAAGCGGCTGTTCTTATTCGTGGTTGTGTTAAAAGTTTCTTTTTTTTTTCTTTTTTTTTTTAGTTCGATAAATAATTTGTTAATGATATCATGTATAAAAATTACGAGTAAAATATTTTAAATTTTTTTTAAAGACAGTCTGAAAAAAAAAACTTACCCTTCTTTTAGACGCTTACTATTGGAAGCATTTTTTTTTTCTAAATGCTTCATTTTGTTTGCGGCCGATTTGATGTTTTGGAAGCGATATCCTTAGCGTTTTGCTATTAGGCTCGATAAATCAGCATTAATGTTTTCTCGGAATGTCTAGCTACTATGATCTACTGGGCTGGTCCCTTCTTTCTGCTTTAACTATAATGATAAACATGTATATGTTTTCAAAAAGAGCCCAGTTTCACCATGCATGCAGGTACATATAGTATTTCGGAATGGAGGGGGTGGGTGGGTTTGAGGGCTCCCTTACTTTTTTCGAAACATACCTTTTACTGTTGAACATGTTCACTGAAAGGCTCGTTGCCCCCCCCCCCCCCCACTTTTTGTTGCGGTATAGTTAAATGAGGTTTATTTGGTAAAAAGTTGACTTTTCTTCCTTCCTTTCTCTCTTTTTTTTTTCTTTTTTCTTATTTGGTAAGTTCTGTTGTCATATATTTTTTTCCTTGCTGTCCCCTCCCACTTTGAAAAAACATATCCTGGCATGAGACAATATCATTATAGCTCTTACATGTTCTAAAACCCCCGTTAGTCGGTAAGCAACACTTAATAAGGAACGAAAATAATGAATAACGAAACAGATATACATGAAGCACAAAATCTTTCGAAGAAAAATATTGTGTGAAACAAAAGGACACGTTGTCGCCACGCAACTTATAAATATTGTACATTGCGATCACGCAAAAGAAATCGACAATATTTGCTCATACGGGGATTTTCAAGATGAAGGCGTTCATGGCAAAGTAACCGACTCAGGTACTTCTTAATGAGATTGGGATTTATTGGCAAATATGATAATTAACGTTTTGCTATTTGACAAAAGAATCTGCTGTCGTTAACTTGGCTTAATTTTATGTCGGATTTATTATGTATTTATTTGAATTGAACGAGATAATCAAAAGATATGCTGAGGAAATTCGAGCTAAATTTTCATAACTACGTCGATTTCAACATGCTCAGAACAATCTGTGTTACCATGTCGCCATCTAGTCTTTATTGAATATTTTATAATGTATTTTTGATAATATTTTATAAATCTTAAACAAATGAATTTTGTTTAAATACCAACTTTCTGAGACTGTTTGCACTGTAATATTCACTGATATTGTGTTCATTTTAATCTAATTAATAAAACCCTAATTTTCACAGTGTGTTATGGTTTATCAATACATATGTTTAGCAGGTCCGGCACAAACTCTTAATTAAGCTATATATTGCTTGAATTAGCTATATAGGTAGCTTTAATTAGCTATTAAAAATAGCTTTTCATGTGCAATTTTTTTCAGTATGTAGAAAAGTCATACTTTGGTGCATTGAAAGTTTTCAACTTTGAACTGTTTTGAAAACAATGTATGAAAATAATCACTAAATAAATCTTCCTGAGAGACTGCTTTCCAAGTTCTGAAAGATTTAAGGCTACTGTGTTTAAGAAGCAATTGATTTTTGAATATTTCAACAAACACAGTTATTTCTTAAATGACGTTATAGAGAAGGTCAATTGTGGTCAACGGGATACATTGTAATTCAGCACAATGCGAAGTAATCATACTTAGCTGTTGCATCCCTGCACACTTGTAAGGTGGTACAGTGTAAATGGTTCCAAAACCTTTTTGCTTAAAAGTGTTCAAAAGCAGCAATTAATATTGTTAATGTTTTTAATGTTTAATTGTTTTGGATTGCATTTTAAATAGACCATTGTTCAAATAGTCGCATACTTGCAACTTTTTGTCTTTATTTCTTATAAAATAACACATTTATGAAAACTATATATAAAAAATCATAAAGCTATTATGAATCGCTTAATAAAGCTTTATAGGAACACTGTAATTTATTATTAATTCAAGCTATATTATAGCTAAATCAAGAGATTGTGATGGAACTCTGTTTACATATATCATAGAGTATTAAACATGTTAAAGAGTTCCATTACATTTCTATATACTGCCCTATACGCCATGGCATCACAGGCAGTAAGTAATTAAAAGTGTTACATATATCAATAGGCATGCTAGGTATCATATATTTATAAATCAAGACCCAAGTAGCTTTGCAAATTTAAAATCATAAATGACTAACAAAAATCAAGGTAGAAAAAGAATTTAAATAATATATAAAAATATAGTATATGAAATGATATGATACAGTCAAACCTCATCATCTTGAACTCAATAGGACTGAGAAAAAACTTTGAGATATCCAAGGATTTGAGATATCAAGGGTAAAATACTGAAAGAATAAATGTTGGGACTTCCAAATCACTTTAATATATCCATAGTATTCTAGATATCAGTGTGAGAGATAGCCAAGTTCAATTGCATATACATGTAATAAATTAAAAAAAAAAATAGTGGTCTTGTCAAGATCAGTTGGTTAAAAGAAGAAATTTTCAAGAAAACTATACAATTTTTTAATATCCGAATACCAGTATATATATTTTTTCACAAATTGTGTGCTTCTTAGCTATAGTCTGAGTATTAAGTCCTAATTATGCTAATAACTTTCAGTTTCTCACAAAGGCCTTTAGATTGCTTTTATCTGACCAACATGTATTAAAAAAATATTTTTTTTATACATGTCAGTCAGATCTAAGTAATCTGAAGGCCTGTGGTTTCTCATAAAAAGATATCTTTTTTTTCCCATAGATGAATGCTGAAGGTCTGACCATGGATGATTACAAAGGACATCCTAGGGAAGATGTGTGTCATTTGCTACAATCTGTGATCTTACAAATCTGTGAAGAGCATTACCAGGCTTGTGGTGATGTGGAAGTTGATGCTATTATATGTTTGTCAACTCTTAATTCTGACAGTCAGGATGTCGTTAAAATTCACAAAGTATTGCCTTCATGCAATTTTAAAAACAGACATAAAAGGACAGCTAATATACCTCTTGAGCAAATAGCAAAGTTTAGACATTCCAAAAGACAAAAGTTTTTAAGGAAACACCACCATAGAAGTTCTTCTTTTGTACCGAGATTTCCTAGACAGCAGGATTACATTCCAATTTATGCCTCAAATGAATTTGACCAAGACGCTGAAGCCATTCTTTCTACCCATTCTCAAGTAAAAGAAGAAGACATGGAATTGAATTCCCTACAAAATACTAATAGCGGTTCTTCAGACAGAGATGAGTTTAAGTCTGAAGCTGGAGAAGAACCTAATGGTCTTGATACCTCCACTGACCACCACAATAATCTGATGTCCAGTGAAATGGATCAAAATTCCTTTATATCACAACAGGATGAGAAATCAGCTATTCCTGAAGCTATATATGTGTGTAAGGAAGAGCCATGTGAAAAACTAGATACAGACCCACCAAATTACTCAAGTCGACCAAAGAGAAAGCAAAATCCAAAGAGAATTGTTCACTTGCAAGATATGCAAAATGAGTTTGAAAAAGACATTAGTTGTCTTGAGAATGACACTGGAGTTTGTTTTCCCCATTCAAATGTGAATGAAAGAAATTCTCTGGATCAGAAACAATTCACTTTGGATGAGGACAGTGGGGATACAGACGAATTCCAAGCTATGTATACCTCAGGTCATAAGCCAGTACACAGCTATGCTGAAACAGAAGTCGAGGGAGATGGTACTGCTGAAACAGATTCCATTTTTCAAGAAACGGAAGAAATTGATCCTTTAGAAGTTTCAGAAAGTCCTACAACAGAAAAAGTTTCTGTTAGTAAACACAGAAATAAAAAGATTTCCCCGAACCTGCTTCATAATAAGAGCAAAGTATTCCGGTGTAGTAAATGTGGTTCGGGGTTCAGCAGCAAGAAATCTCAGATGAGACATGAACGATATAACTGCGGAGACATTCCTCATTTTGAGTGCAATGTCTGTGGCAAATTTTATTCCAGAGCGGACAGTAAAACAAGGCACTTGTGGAAAATACATGGCATCAAAATTTCCACCCCTGATAAGAATAACCCTCTGGAATTTCCATAATTTATGCAATGCATTGATTGGTTAGTTGATTTATATGTAACAAAGATGTCATTTGAAAGCTGTTTACCACTTCACAGTGACAGTCACAAAGTTTGCTTTATTTACACTTCTTAACAATTATCAAAAGATTTTTTAGCCACCTATTTTTTGAGTAGACACTTTTTTTCCTTATCTATTTAACATTAACAAATTGTAGATTTACACAATGTGGCATCACATTTTTTTCCAATTGAAAAAGTATTGTCACTCTAAACATGTCTGTGAAAATATTTTTTTTTGTATGTGTGTGTTATACTGATACATTATCATGATTTTGTATCAAACAAGTCAGAATTTCATTTCAAAATGACTAAAAGCTGCAGCTTCAATAGGATCTCTATAATGTCTTTTACAACACATTTTTGTTTAAAGATAATAGTCTTTTTACCATAGATGACCAAATGCACACCAGATTCATCTACCTCAATATCAATGCTCACAATCATGATAATTTAGAAGTAAAAATGTGAAGAATTCAGATAAATTACAGTGATAGGATATATATATATATATATATATATATATATATATATATATATATATATATATATATATATATATATATATATATATATATAAACACATTATTTGTGGATAAAATAATGAAGTTTAAGTGTTAAACATTTTCTAGCAGTGTTTTCTTTGGTTAAGATGTCTATGAGTTTTAAATATATAACTGTGCTACATACATGTTTGATTCATGATGTACATAATCAGTTTTTGTCCATTTAACATGTTTAAAGACATTTCTACAAAATTTATTCTTGCTGAAAGTGGGTGCATGTGGTAGAAATAAAGTTTATCTCTGTAAGTGATAACAGGATCTTCAGTAGTGTTTGTAGAACTTAAATCTGGAAATGTTAACTATGCAAAGAGGCTTTAACAAACATGATCCACACGTTGTAAGTTTATGACTAAGTATTACATTACTTGTACATAGAAGAAAAATACTTAGCGATGTTCAAAGAAATCAATTTAAATATCAATCATGAAAATAATTCTGATTTAATTTTTATCAATGTTGAAAAACAAAAGAAATACCAGCAATGAATTTTTTTTCTAGAATCTGATACAGTATATGTAATTAAATTTGTGATTTTAACGTAATTCATTTAAGAAATGTTTCTTTTCCTACTTAGATACTGTATTCAGTCATTTATAAAAATGTACAGTAGTGAAATACACATGTTCAGGGTGATTTATAGTTTTTGCCCTGTCCGTCCGTCTGTCTGTCTGTTTGTTTGCAAAAACTTTAACCCTGCCCATAACTTTTGATTGGTTGGAGCTATGGCTTTCATATTTCACATGTGTGTTCCTTGTGACAAGACCTTTCTTTGGGTACCATCATATTTGACCTTTTGATCTTGACCTTGGAGTTTGACCCACTTTTGTAAAAAATTTTTAGACTTTAACCTTGGCCATAACTTTTGAACACTTGAAGCCTGGGCTTTCAAACCTCACAAGTGTATTCCTTGTGAGAAGTCCTTCCTTTGGATACCAACATCTTTGACCCTTTGACTTTGAACTTTGAGTGTTTGACCTACTGTTGAAAATCATGGCCATAACTTTTGAACAGTTTGAGCTAGGTCTTTCATACTTTGCATGTGTACTCCTTGTGACAAGAGCTTTCTTTGCATACCAACAACTTTGACCTTTTGACCTTGGAGTTTTTCCTACTTCAATTTTGAAAAAAATTAATCTTGGCCATAACTTTTGAACAATTAGTGCTAGGGTTTTCATACTTCACATATGCATTCCTTGTGAGAAGACTTTTCTTTACATACCAACAACTTTGACCCTTTGACCTTGGAGTTTGACATTCTTTTGTAAAACTTTAACCTTGGCCATAACTTTTGAACAGTTCGTGTTAGGGCTTTCATACTTCACATATGCATTCCTTGTGCCAAGACCTTTCTTAAGATACCAACAACCCTGACCTTTTGACCTTGACCTTGAAGTTTGACCTACTTTTGAAAAACTTTAACCTTGGCCATAACTTTTGAACAATTGGTGTTAGGGCTTTCATACTTCACATGTATATTCCTTGTGACAAAACCTTCCTTTGGATTCCAACAGTTTCGATATTGACCCTGACCTTGGAGTTTGACCTACTTTTAAAATTTTTAACAGTGGCCATAACATTTGAACGTTTGGTTCTAGGGCTTTCTCATTTCATGATCATGTGTATCACTTGTGACAAGTACTTCCCTTGGGCACCATTTGACCTTGACCTTGCCGTTTTACTTACTTTGATAAAACTTTAACCTTCGACATAACTTTTCAACGGTTTGTACTAGGGCTCTCATATTTCACAGGTATATTCCTCGAGACAAGACCTTCTTTGTGTACCAGTATTTTTAATTTCTTGACCTGGAGTTTGACTTGCATTTAAGAAACTTAAACCTTCGCCATAAGCTGCCATATGGGGGCATCAGTGTTTCTCAAACACATCTTGTTAAAGAGTATTTTGGGCTACATGTAATTTTATTCTAAGAATTGAACTAATGAACTTGCATTTATTCATGTACTGATGAAGGGACATGTATGAAGATACATGTAAATAATTGCAAGAAGGATACATGCTTGTTGATCATGTTGATCTCGCACATAACTCTTTAAGCAAATTTCTTTTGGCATTTCAGGATCTGTAGACCACATAAAAGTCTCTGTTAATTATCTGTTATGTTATCGTTACTTGTATGATTTCACAAATTGGAATTACATCAAAAGGTTGTGGTATATCAATATATCAGGAAACTTGATATTCAAGTAGAAAAAAGTGTTATCTGCTCCTTCTTGTACTTGTGGTTTGTTTTTTTTTTATTCACTCAATTTAAATGTGACCTATCACGCAAATTTGAAATACAATTATTTATTGTTATTTATACTTTGTTATGATTTATTGCTGCGTGCACAAATAGATAAACGTTATGATTTATTGCTGCGTGCACAAATAGATAAACGTTATGAACATTTTACTGTGTGTATGTACATGTAAATAGTGAGCATATTCAAGTCATTCCATGTATAAAATTGATAAAAAAATCTATTCTTCACTGTCTGATATATATATATATATATATATATATATATATATATATATATATATATATATATATATATATATATTAGGGATGTCAATGTTGTCAATAATTCATATTCGAATATTCAATGAAAGTATTCGAATAAAATAAATAAAATCTGTTTTATTTTAAATATTTTATTTTAAAACTGTTTTATTTTAAATATGCATCTTCCTACTCTCTTGAAAGATTTAGCGTAGGTATACTTATATTGGAAGTAAAATTGTATGAAGACTTTTGTAGGTGTACAATAAGAAATTCCATTTGATATTTGTCAATGTTTGAAATAAATAATTGATTTAGATGTAGAAAAGTATAATTTTAACAAATGAAACGTGTATTTATAGTTACTCCAACTGAGGAACCAGTCGTCTTACAAATGGCAAGATAGTCGTAACGGTATACTGTTCAGATTTCAATACGTGTAATAAATTACAATTATCTGCCTGATAAGAGATATAATTATAATCTTTGATACAATGAAAACAAATATTTCCATAGACAATTTTCCTAGATAATTAACTAATTTCCCGATAATGAATATAAAATCCAGGATTATGTACAACCCAAGATAATCAAGTAATTTACACATTTGTTCTGAAATTAAGCTCTTTAAAATATTAACTACAGATTAATTCTCTCGAAATTCATTCAATGATCAATTAATTTTATTTTGATAAGTATACTCTTCACGCCTTTTAGACATTCTTAGATTTCATTTGTTGTCCTTAATTCTAGATCCGATCGTAACTAACTAATAAAAACTATGAAAGTACGTTTTGTATTATACATAAAGCATTATTGTACAATTCTTTATCACCTTACTCAAAACAAAATACATGTTATTTAGTATATTTATAAGCTAAGAAAGTAGTGAAAGAAATCAGGCGATCAAAAATTTATGAATCACAGTACTTCTTTTTATGAAATCTGAAAAACACCGAATTCGAATCTTAAATTCATATTCGAATATCAACTCATCGAACGAATATTCGAATGTTCGAATATTCGTTGCCATCCCTAATATTATAGATATATATATATCGTTGCCATCCCTAATATTATATATATATATATATATATATATATATATATATATATATATATATATATATATATATATATATATATATATATATATATATATACAATAAATACTGTTTTTGAGATAAATACAATGATTTAGCCACCTTCGAAGTACAATTTTTTACATTTGCTGAAGTCCTAGCCAAATGAAATGAGAGAATCTTCGTTATAAAGTAAACATAAGCAGTTGTATTAATTTAGAATTCTTAAATCTACATGTATTTTAAGTGCGTTGAAGACCCCATCCCTCACCTTCCACATCTACCCCTCACTCCAGATTCTATGTGCCTGAATGATTTGTTCACCTGAGTGGAAGTCAGGTGCAAGTGAAATAACTTTCCAAAACTATTTGTATCACTTTGGATTTTCCCGATCTATTTTTAGTCCAATGTGGGAAAAAATCCTTATATTCACCTTGAAGATCACATGTAGGTGAATGAAATATATGGAGATAACGAACAGTATTCAAGCTCAAAAGTCCATTAAACAATACAAATTTTGGAGCAGAGCAAGCACGGCCCTCTAAAATATCAGAGGTGGGATCAGGTGCCATAAAGGAGTGAGCATCCCCTGCCGACCGGTCACACCCGCCTTGTACTCCTTGTCACGATCGGGAAATAACGAAAAAATCCGTCGACAATTCAGCGTGTAAATAATGGCCTAACAATTAGTATGAAAAACGTCAGTCAGCATTTGACTTTATGATAAATTGTATTTGCTGACAAGGTCATTATTGTGTCGACCATATAACTTACGAAATGACGACTTGAAACGGGACTGCTGATATTCTTGTTTCATCAACTTAAGCTTGTTTGTCAATAACTTACCTCGTTTTAGAAATTGTTCATACGTAGAGCATGCTCTTGCGTATCGAGTCAACTGAGATATAAACCCCGTATGCAGGTGATGAAGGTATATTGCTGCATAAGTAAGGGAAGTTGACGATTGAAAAGCTAAAGTTATGACGTTTATCATAAAGCTTGGTTGTTTGATTACCATTAACGTCTTTTTCTAGTAAAATATCCAAATATGAAACAGATGTGTCAGAACTCTGTGGCTTTTATTTCAAGCTCACCGGGATATATCGTATGGACATAAGAATGGAAATAACCATTGTTAATTGACAATATTTCGTCGATATATCTACATGTCGAGTTAAAGGCCACAGCAAGTGTTTTCTTTTCACGTGTAAGATTTTGAACAAATTCTGCTTCATTTGAATACAAAAATAGGTCTGCTAATAACGGGGTGCAATTGGTACCCATGTTAATTCCACTAGATTGTTGGAAGACTCGGTCTCCAAAAACCATATA